AACCCAGGCCGCTGCAGCAACTCCGTATAAGGGTCGCCAGCTCTACCGACTGAGCTAACCGGGCGCCTGGAGAAGCCTTTTTATATCAATGCCTCTGCATCTGTATTCAATGACTGCAACTAAATGATGCTAATCTTTGCAACAACTCGCTGCATTATTTTTACATACAAAATGCAACTCTTTCCTTGCACATCCAGATGTTTATGGCTCGTCTACGTGGAGTTTAATTAAACCCAGTCTTCCAAAAGCCACAAGAAAATAAGAGTTGGATCCCTTTCCTCAAAGTTTAATTGCGTACATTTTTTCCCCAACGTTTCAGATTTGTGATTTTTGGGATATGTTCTCTGAGAGGACATATAGGATTCACTTATTAAGCTGTTTTATGAGAAACAAAATTCAGTAATCTTCCTTCTCAGGTAAAGAAAGTTTCACTAAAAGCCTTTTTTTCCCCCAAGCTTGATAGTGAGAGTGACACTACAAAACGCAAACGTCAAGAACGATCCATCACGTCAAGAGTGAAACCAGTACTGTCATAGCAACCTTGGGAGTTCATAACTCAAATTTACTCCCTTGCAGCTGCCGCAGACAAGCCATGAAGGCTTTAACTTGGCAGAGAAAGCATTTAAATGAAGTTGTGCATATTTTCCATTGCTCCGTTTGGAGGTCATAGCACAGACTCCTTCGACTGCACTACCAGTGTGAAAAGCACTTCACACTGAGAGGTGACTTCTTTCTCTTGACTTTCTTCCTCTTAGACAGCAGATTCATCTCTTGACCTGCAGACGTCTCAGTCTCATTTCTATTGTACAGTCTCTCAATGTCTCTCTGCCTCAGGAATCTCTTGACATCACGACTCTAAACTTTTCTTTCCACTGCTTTCCCTTTGACTTCTTTTCCTCACACAAATTGAGACAATTCCTTTTACCATCTCAAGCTGCAAAATCCAAGCTTTACAAAAGATTTCACTGGCACCTTCATTTTGCCTGAGTAGCAAAAAGAAACAACCACAAAGGAGTCATGTGAGCTTGTACACATTCTCGCCTCCGGACATTAAAATGGTCCAATTCTTTGATTCTACCAAACATTTCCAGGATCTGTCGTTCTTGCAATTTACTAGCCAAATGGCCTCATCTCAATTCTCACTGGCTTCAAACTAGCCACAACAACAAAGTGACTCAGTCTTTTCCAGCATGGACTTGCATACTCATCTCTTTTAAGGAGTGAGTTGCTTCCTGTTTCCCTTCGTATCCTAGCTGTACTTATGTTTGATCTCACTCCCGTCTTTTCACAGTTCTTAAGCGTGTGAGATTCAAGGTTGCCACGTGTTTCGTCTATGAACTTGAAGCCAGATGATGGACACAGTAGATTTGATTTTACTATTTTTTTTAAAAGATTTAATTATTTGGATTTTTATATTGAAAGAAGAAGAATTTAGTTTCTTTACAAAAGAAGGTATAGAGGCTTAAAATGATGGTTTGATACGAAAAGTAAGAAAAGTAAGAAAGAAAGTTATCTTTGATGAGTTTAAATCAGTTTTAAAAAATCTGGCACTCTTGATCAGTGTTTGCTTCTAAATTTAAATTGTATTGTTTGATTTGAGTTTTGGAAACTAATATTTGTTAATGCATCTCAAGTGTTGTTTATACTCTTTATACTTTTACTGTGTGACAAATGTTGTAACTATGGTTTCATGCTGCTCTCTTGGACAGGATTTTAATCTTAATGACACTTTGGTTAAATAAAAGAAACATGAAATGAATCACACTTGAGGCCTATTCTTTAGTTTAAGCTATTTTGGCATCGTCACCGAGCTCGAATAGATTAATTTATACTGTGTAGTATGAACCTGAGTATGATAAATAATTAATAATGTAATAGCTGTTTTATAAAAGCAATAACTCACTTGGTTACAATTCACCATTATTATTACATATTGATTTATTTTCTATCTGGGTTCCTATCTCTTTTTCTACCTCCATTCTCTTGATGCCTCCAACACCACGTCCTCCATAGTACGAGGCATCCACTGTAGGCCACCTCTTCTTGGGAAAACCATCCTCGTCGTCCTAAAGAAGAAGGAAACAGTATTAATGTTTACAAGAGTAAAGCAAATAGATGAGACTATAGCTTAAGAGCACATGTGTTGTAAATAAATTAAGACTTGTGCCAAGAATTGAGTCATTACGAGCAGAATAAAAAATGAAACCACTTACAGACAAGTCCTCTATTACTGGAGGAGGTGGCTCGTGAATGACCTGCAAAAAATAAATATGCATTGTCAGCCTCAAAGGATGGCTGGTGTGTCGTAACATAAACACATTTGCCACATTTGTATGTTCTTCAGTGTGAAGAATTCAAGATGGCTGTCGTACCACAGTGCAACAGAGAGGCCAGAACCACCACAGCAGAGCAATAGTGAGCAGGAGCATCAGGATGAGCAGAGCTATGGCCACAAAGGTCCCATCAGACTGGAATGGAAAATAGATACAAGGACATAAACAGAGTCACAAACAGATGTGCATTTGCTGGATAAAATGACAGAAAATACCACATTAACCAGACTAATAGGTAACTACCAACACCAAACCTGTACACAACTTTACATAAGAAAGTATTTCATATGTTTATTCTATATTGATACAACTTTCACTTTCAACCAAGACTAGATAGAAAATGTTACATATTTTAGTCATATAGCATGTTGTCAGTGTTAAGGTCACTAATGACATGGAATTAAATGTCCTGGTTGTGAATCACTGCTTTACACAGTCTAGTCTAGACTGATGTTCGTAGTAGTACTTTCAGCCATAAGATAATGTGAGAGTTCAGCTTTTCAGGACCATCTTGTTTTACTTACACAAGTGACTGCAGTAATTGTGACAGAGCTTGATATGAAGCTCAAGCCATTATTCATGCTGACGTGGAGAGTGGCAGACCTGTAGAGATGGTAAATGAAAGTGATGATAATTTGCTTCATTTTGTTATAATTTAAAAATAACATTTGATGTTTACATTTAAAGTTTAAGTAATTTGTCATGTCATTTGTCATTTTCATGTAAAACTGTATAGGTTGCTTACACTGTCATGAGAAGAGCAATGATTTCCTTGATCCTTGATGTTGTGGATCATGAAATATATATGAGCCAGACGCTCAGAACAGTAATCACTTACGTTCCCTCTTTTTCCAGAACAGGAGCTGGGCATAAAAGGTAGACATCTCTCACCACCAAAGGTCTTTTCACTGTGGAAATAGAGTATCGTGATATGTCGGTATGATGTGATTTGAGAGTACATAGTAAGAAAAGTAAGTCAGGATCAGGATAATTTGTGAAAGAATGAAGCAAAAAGGAAAAGTTTACTTGACTTTTCTCTATCAGTCCTAAAAACTTGCAGAGATTCAAGACTCAAAATATTATTTTTGTTATTAAATTCCTGGACTTCCTCTCCTTATGGAAAATGAAGCAAATGAGGGAGGGTTGTGGTTTATTTACCCTGGCTGAGTGAGTGTCTAGTGTGCGCAAAGACAGTGCTCGTTCCTGATGAGATCCACATTCCCTTTCAGACATCTGAGAAGCGTTGAGTGTTAAACCAGCTGATTTCAAGCAGGGGAAGATGGTGCTGATGGTTTTTTGGGAGGACGGGGATTTAAATCATTGTGAGCCACAAAGAGCTGCTCTCCCTAACCTATCCCCATCTGAATGGCCAATACAAACTTGGCACAATGATATAAATGGCTGCTGAGAAAACTGCTGCTTTTCTATTCTCTCTATTAATAGTTGGATTCACACACCTACACTGTTGTTGTCTTCTGTTGATCACATCACAGTATATTGCATAATATAATGTGGACGACAGAGGAAGAGGTTTGTTGCTCAACTTATTCACACATATTAACGTTCTTCTATTAGGATAAACAATGATTTAGTCCACCTACTGGGATTTTTTTTTCCTGTTTGCAGCTTTAATGCTAAGCCAAGCTAATTGACGGCTAGCTGTATATATAATATTTAGCATACAGACGTGACAGTGTATCGATCATCTCATCCAACTCTTGGCAAGAACGCAAATGTATTTCCCAAAATGCACACTGTTCCTTTAAGTACATTTACACCCTTCAGTTATGATTCAATAACACACATTATCACAGTATAATAACTCAAATTTATTTCCTCATTCATCAAGTTTGCCACTAGTTTGGTTTGACTGATTGTATTTTGCAATGCAGAAATTGTGTTTATGGGTTTGTTTTTGTTTTATTTTTTTGCCTCTTGGGTTCAGAACTCAACAAGCTCTCATATTATGGCCCCGTAAAATTTATATTGTGAACATGTTAGCACACATTTGCCTATTTACACATCCAGCAGACTTCATTAGCCAATATTCTCCACCATTTCCTGGGGGAAATATCTGGCTCTCTAACTACCAAATGTTCCACAGTGTTTACCAGCTGGTCGCTAACTTTGTCTGTTTCCTGTTTGGTTTTGAGGACGTAGCACTGCGAGCCGTAAAAAGAAAACAAAACAAAGAGCTGAATGATGCTAAAATGCTCTGTAGAGCTGAGAGGGACTGCAGAGTTAGGAGGAATGTGGGTTTGTCACTACGAGCAAAACTTTGCAGATTTCTCATTACAATGGTTTATGTAAAAAATATGGATTAATGCAGCTTAAAAGCCACAGAAAAACCTTAAAATGAATTAATAAAAATCATTATTAAATCTGCCTGGTAAAATATCAATGTAAAATACCACAGAACTAAAGTTTGTGAATGACAACCTTTGAGCATGTACTTACTCAAAGTGACTGTGTCATTGATGCGAAAGCTGCAGAGGACTTTCTGTACATCTCGGGCGTGAAGGAAACCATTTCCTTTAACAACCACCTGGAAAGATTCTGTGTGGGATTAAATTTACCATTTATATAATTTTTCCTCACAGTAGGTTATGCAATGTGTATATCTGATAAAGCTTAGGTAGAGTCATCAATCTGTTAATATATGTATATATATATATACTGTATATATATACTGTATATAATAATGCATGTATGTAACTAGCAGTATTATATCACAGGTATTTGTACAGTATATTGTAAGCTGTTGTGCTTTTGTGGTTTTCCTCTGTGGTTGTTGCTCTATACCTCCTTCACAGATGCTGGAGGGCTCCACAGCCAGGATCTCAATGCAGGACCTCTTCAGGATCTGACAGAGAAAATAATAATATAACAATAAGACCTAAAGGTACAGTTGATTCAGTTATGTAATGAGGTATTTAATCAGTAATATGCATCTTTCTGTAATATTAAAGTCTTTCATACTGAGTCAATGACGCCTTGTAGCGCCTCAAATCCATCATTCACAGGGAAGACATGGTCCTTACTGTCAGCTATTGTAGAAAGCTGTCAAGAAATAAGATTTGGATGTCTTATTGTTTGGATAATTAATTTATTCCTCTTCTGACTGACGGTAGACGGATTGATTTACCTGTGTTTCATTGAAGTCTTTTACTCCCACACAGTACACAGTGGCGCCCAACTGCCGTGCTCTGCTGGCCTAAAATCAGATGTTAAACACACAAACAAACAACAAATAAGCAAGCAGTAAGTAAAAACCACTAAATCACTTATGGCCACACCTCCATCAGGAATGACAGCTGCAGGGAAACATCTGCTGTGACATCACTGAGAGGGATGTGGCCACAAGCACAACAAGCCGGGAAGTTTTTCACCCAAATACAGCAACATCTTCCTGCAGTATGTAACTGTATCAGTGTTTACTTTAAGTAACATAGTGGGGAAGAAAACAAGCAATATGATGCATACAAGTTACATCATGCATTATAATGATCTTTTAGGGAAAGGGTAGGTTTGAGAAGATGTTAACTCTCATTTAAACATTGTCAATGTTTAAATGATGCTAACACCTTTCATATAATTGTAAAAGCCCAATTGGTTTTCATGTCACCTCTCTTTGTGCAAGATCAAACTGATTCTCTCTCAGTTCCCCGTCCGTCAGGGCAATGATGACACTGGCTGTCCGGTATCCTGAAAGTCAAGAGACAAATTAACTGTTAATTGTAAAAAAAAAAATTCTCATCCAGTAGAATGAAATTATTATTTTTGAAAATAAGAATCAACGTGAGCCTAATATTTGTTTTAAAAAAAATACATAATTGTCATGTGATGGAAAAGGCAGCTGGTTGTTATTTCATTCTTCATATGATGATTCTTCCATCTGTTTAAATTTAGCTCTGATGAATGGATAACGACTCCATCAGTAGAAGAAATTATTAAGTGTTAAAAAGGAAAATGTTCTACTCACCATCTCCAGTCCCATAGTATATTTGCTCGCTGGCCTGAGGGAGAAGTTTTGAGGCGTCAGTGGCTATAAATTTAAATGAGGCTCATTTAAAAAACTTAGATGCCATACTGATGGGTAAGCAGGATCAGTTTCCCATTAACTTAACAGATGGCTTACTCTTTGAAAACCTCTGTGCATGAAGGTGTCTCCACCTGGCTGCACCATGCGCAGCTCCTCCAGTCCGGCCCGAATCTGCTCTCTGATCATTCACATATTCCAGAGAATAAAAATATATATTAGTTGAAATAAAATGGGGTTCCAATATGACAGACAACAGGCATGCAAATAAAATCATTAAGATGTCTGACGTTGGTATATGTTTGTACCTGTCTTCTGTTAGTGCCATGAGAGTCCTTCCTTCTGTTGAAAATACTATAAAAGACATCCGCAGCTGAGGACTGGAAAAAAAGAAGAGGCAACTGTCATGTTTTACACTTTTTCTCTTTAAATTTGATGTTTCTGTGTGGACCTACCTGATAAACTTGTGAGCCAGGTGGTCAACAAAGTAATATATCTCATTCCAGTAATGTTGCACACTGCCAGACCTGAGAAGATTCAAGGAACACAAATTAACTGTCTGGTTTCACGAATGAACATGAAGAAGAGAAGAGATGTAGAGATCTGTAGCAGTCCTAAACCTCCTCCAGGTTTTTACACGTTTGTAATTTTAGTGCAGTAAGTTTAATAGTCCTGTGGAGATAGTTGAACACTAACCATAAGTCAAAACGAGACAAAACAGGGTGCTGGTTAGCTCAGTGGGTAGAGTTGGCGACCCATGTACCGAGGCTTAGTCCTTGCTGCAGCAGCCCAGGGTTCGAATCTGACCTACGGCCCTTTGCTGCGTGTCATCCCTTCTCTCTGCCCCCCTTTCCTGTCTCTCTTCAACTGTCACTATCATAAAGGCAATAAAAGCCCAAAAAAATACTTTAAAAAAAAAAACTAGACAAAACACTGCATCTAGTCAAAGCATTTAAAGATTTTCATGCAGTTTAATGTCTTACAGGAGACAGATTGAAATAATTTATAAAAGGGGGGAATGGCCCTTTAAAGCTCAGAGGATCATTCTTACATTGCATTTACATTAAAACTTAATATAGGGCTGCAACTATGATTATTACATTATTAATTAATCTGCTGATTCTATAGAATACCATAAAATAGAAGAAATGCTGATCTTAAATTCCTAGATCTCAAAGTGACATCTTCTTGAAACTGAAAGATAGAATAGATAAAGACAAAGTAAAGTATGGATTTTCCTCATTTGAGAGGTTGGAATCAGTTATTTATTTCACATTTTTGCTTGAAAAATATAACAGATTAATTAGCAATATTGCAAGAGAGATGATTAAATAACCAAACTAGTATCCCTTGTAGTGGTTAGTATGCAGTTGTGACTTGTAGCTGCTTGGCTGCAATCCTCTATATGTGCTATGAACTATTAGCATTGTGTATGGACTGTATATGTAAGTGGACATCTATGTATTCATCATAGTGAAACTTCACCTAGAGAGGCCATTGAGTTTTAACGTTGGTATTTCCTTCTGCTTGCTCATTTTTAAATGTCAAACACAAACTGAAGTGCCACGTCATTTTCTCAGATGAGCTCAGCTTTGTGTCAAGATCTGGATTTTGAAACCAGGTGTCAACTCAACAAAACAATCAGAAGAAGAATGCATGCAGACGTCATTAATTAGTAATTAGAGAGAATTGTGAGGCAAATATGCAAAAACCTCAGCAGCCTTCTCACACTGCACTGCTGCCTCTCTTCTTCTTCTTCCCTCTCACTTATGTTTTCATTTATTCTGTGATGTGAGTCCCAGCGCACAGACGGCCAAAAACTCAAGATCTTTGGAACATCTGGCTCTGATGGAGAAAGGGTTCTGCAGACTGACGCAAAGAGAGCTGAAACTGGGGACGAGAGCTCCTGTTGGTGAAACGTGGCCGCAGTATGACAACAGGAGTCCCTGCAGTGCACTTTATCATTGTAAACACACTTTCTGTCAATTCTTACTCATTTTAAGTTGCTCATGCTGAATGTTGACTATGACCTGGCCAACAAAACAACAAGACATGATGTTCAGGAGCTTCACATGAGCTTGGTGACAGTTTAATGGAGAGTGTAATTTAACCCTTATGTCTGCGCTCACATGGGCATTCAATCTGGTCTTGAGTTTGGTCAATAAAATGACACTTTATGGCAAATAGAGCCGAAACAGTTTAATTAGACTAATTGATTTCTTGATAGAAAATGAATTTATAACTATTCTCATAAACAATTCATCATTTGAGTTAGTTGGGATTTGCTGTTTTTCTGATTTATATCATCGCAAACTGAATATATTTGAGTCTTAAACTGTTGGTCGGACAGAACAAGACATGGACTAGGTCTAGGATCACACTAGGACTCTGGGAAACTGCTGGCATTTTTCACTATTTTATGACATTTTATATTCCAAACCACTAATCAGTTAATCAAGAAAATAATCAGATTAATCGATAATATCAATCATTGTTCGTTGCATACCTAGTTTGTTACAAGGCAGAATGACACTGAACTGCAGTTCTATTTATTGGGTTACTCCTTAGTTTCAGCAATTGGAAAACAACAGAGCTGTAAAATGTTGTGGTAGATATACACCACATATTTTAGCACAAAAAAATATCACCAGATCTGCTGACTAAATGTTTCTTTCGCTCTCTACTTTAAGCATTTAAAAATAAACATATTAGATCCACGTGTTGCAGCTGGGTTCAACAGGACCTGGGCTTTGTTTTGGAAGTTATGACTATTTTCATTGTACACAACAAGGTAAACACCACAGAGACAATACTTAGAATCAACAGGCTCAAACCTGCTTGTTACTGCACAGTTGCACATAGTTTTTAAGTTGTAGCCCAATTAATGTCACTGGAGATTATCTTGAATGTTTGCACCTGTGTCTTCAAATGAGATGAGTCATGCACATTAAAAGCCTTCCTCTGTCATTAAGTAAAAGCAGTAGCACTCACTTGTCCAAAACAAAGTATAGGTCAAATCCTCCGTAGCAGGACGAGCCTGCCTCCCTCCTGTCATGGATCTGTCCTGTGCTGCCGGCCACCAGGACCACCACCAGCATGCCCAGTTCCACACCGAGCAGGACCTGCCTGCACCAGCACTGGGACATCACCCCAAGTTTAAGAGAAAGCACCAGCTGAGCCAAAGAGAAGGTAAACATAAATACTCTCCAGTTAGAGATTTCCGTCCACTTCCCCTTTCACAGCACACTGATGTCGTCAGCCATGCTGTGCAGAGTGATCTCCATTAAACTGATCCTCTCTGGATCAGTGTCCCATCTCCTCAGCAGCAGATGTGTGCTGGCAGAGGAGGAGTGAAGCTGGTGGGACTGAGTCTTCCTCTCCCCCTTTTTTCACCACACTAAACTGTTTTAACACACAGTACCATCAGGTTACATCAATAACATAATAAAAAAAAACACTTAGTGGGTGATTCACTGTTTCTTTCATCTGTTTGTCTGAATGACCCAACGGTTTTCATCAGACATTTATTATTGTAAGGACTTTTTTTCCTTTCACTTTTCTTGCAGGTTTATTCATTTCTACAGCCTACCCATCAGTGCCACTTAGTGGTAAACACATGCACCCTGCACTTAAATACAGCATCTGTGCTTAAATATTAAATGGTCATTCTGTTTATCTGCACTTAAAGTAAGAACTTGATTAAGTGTGACTTTCTGTGCAATTTACAGGTTGATTAAGAATCAGACAAGACAAATACTTGCAGAATGTATACTTCTCATTGATTGACCTGAGCAGGGGAATAATAATAGCTGGGTCAATCACACAAACAATTGCATATGTACAGTTTACTTAACACTGTTTAAATATGTTTGCACTCCACATTTCTTACTTTCATACTGCACATAGTGCATACATTTTTAATTATAGTCTTTCTATTTTCTATTATTGCTTTATAATGTTTTTACTTAGTATTTTTGTCATTTTTACACTACATTTTGCCCTATGCTGCTGTGTCAATAAAGGAACATCTTATCTCTTATCTTATTTTATCATTTTAATTATTTATGGTCCAGTGTGTAACATTTATGAGGATCTATAGCAGAAATTAAATATAATATTCATAGATATGTTTTCATTCGTGTATAATAAATAGAAAATAAGAATTGTTGTCTTTTTAGCTTTTAATGAGCCTTTTATATCTACAGATGCCGTAGTGTCAAACCACCATGTTTCTGCAGTAGCCCAGAACGGACAAAGCAAACACTGGCTCTAGGGTGTTTTTCTGCTGTTTCTTCCTCGTGCTTGGAAGGCGAGAGTGAAGCGAGTGAGTTGCAATCTGGCCCTACACCTCTAGATACCACCTAATCCTACACGCTGGACCTTTAAGGCACCTAATTAACATCTGCATCCACATCATTTCTCTATGACAGGAAAGCTTTCAAGTTTCGAGATATGCAAAATATATAACATATAATATAACAATATAATATAATTATAACATAATATATAACAGAAGGAAATAGCCACTACCACCACCTTGTCATTTCTACATTTCTATTTGTGTATAGATTCAATAGATAAGCACAAACATGTTGATTAGTAAAATGTAGAGTTGATAGTAGGCAGATTGTGTTTATGGTAAACTACAGTAATTATCCACTTTCCCTTTTAAGAGAGTAGTATCAATCTTCTCCTCTAACTCTCTGCACTTGCACTTTTTGCAACTATCCACAGCTGTTCTGCTCTCCCTCTTCTCTCATGCTCTCTTTAGTTTCTCTGCCTGTGTGTATGTAATTCCTCACCTGTCCACCAGGTGTGCACCACTGTTTGTCACACCTTTGACTCATCACTAATCAGCTCTCACACGCTGTCTGCTCCGCCAGCTGCTCCTCGTCTCTAATTAGTGTCTGTGTGCGTGAGGACAGGTTGTGCCAGATTGTAGTTACATGTTGCCAAGCTGCTGCAGTGTTCAAGCCATTCATATTTTCCTGTTTACAGATCAGACTGAGTTAATCTCACTAACTCATACCGAACTGTTTACAGTAAGTCTCTAAAGACCACAGCTAAGATTTTGCTCTTAGCTGTCAAAGCAGGCCACATGTGCTACCTCATTGTTGGCCAACATGAATAGCTGTCTATGAATATTTGTGCATTAAAGGTCTAGTGTGTAACATTTAGGAATATCTATTGGCAGAAATAGAATATAATACTCATAGGTATGTTTTCATTAGTGTATAATCACCTAAAAATAAGAATGATTG